CACCAACCACAAGGCCACTGCACCACCACCCTTGGGTCTTGTATAATGGTTAAAATTACTCTTTTGTACAACAAACATTCTCAAAATAGCTGCATAAAACCACAGCCCTACCTCATCATCTTCAGTATCAGGAGTTTCAGGTTCAAAGTTATCTAAAGAACCAAGAAGTTGTTCCTGTTGATAACACCAAAATAAAACTGAATTATTTGTTACATGGAAATTTTAGTATGGTTTTTACAAGTATTACAATAAAGTGCCAATATATAGCAACCATTCGCTTTGTTTTTAACAGCACGCTTTAAAAAGTACAAAGCAATTGACTCAAAAATCAGGATGAAAAACAGCAAAATTTTGTTATCCCTTAAATTCCAGAAGTGATCAAACTCTAATTTCTCATTTCAATACTGATGCATCATCAGGCAAACAGGTGACAAGTATAAAGAAAATTTTCAACTGAGTCGTATTATCTTGATGTGACACCACCTTCCCAGAACTGACATTCAAAGAACTGATGGCTGTCAGTAAGAGAAAAGGACTCAAGTAAACAAGACTTCAAAAGAAACTTCTCGTTTGTAAATCAATTTTAAGTCTATTAAAATAAGTTATCCTGTCTTGGATTTAATCAAAGTCTTGCAACAATATACAATGATCTTACTAGTTAGAGTACCCTGAGTGTTCACTCCAAGATGGTAAAAGACAAATTCCAGATCCTGGGAAAACCGTTCCAAGACCCTTGTGTATCTACCATGGGAAATTCCATCACTTTACTTGAAGAGATATTTTAAATATAAGGCATCAACAAGATTCTCAGGAAGTTTGCTTTTCTGGTATATATCATACTATAAATACAGATGTGTTGTGTGGTGTGTGTTTGACCATTTTATACATAATCAGCTTGCAAACTGGTAATCTAGCATTTTTAACCCAGTGGTTATTTGAGGTTGCCAGTACCCTTACAAAATTATAACTTTTAATTACAAGAGAGACCAGGGAGAGGGGATTCTCCTAAGGAGAATGTGCTGCCTTTGTATTTTGTTAAATCTGCAAATGGTTAGACATTCAAGGCTTCTGGGATAAGGACTGTAAACTGTAGGCCTCGTCTCCTGCATCTTCAGTGTTACATGATTAGCAGGGGACGTTAAAGAACCCACACACTTATCGAAAAGAATAGGTCACGTAGTTCCCAGTGTTGTGGTACGGCCTTGTCTCACAGGTTGGTGCTTTGCATAGGGTAAACCTCATTTCACCTTTCCTCCTTGGAAAGAATTGTCTAAGAAAAATTGCTATGAATACAACTACTATGACTAATACAAACTGTACATTGCACTCTGCACTACCCGATATTAAGTTGGCATCCCTGCAGGAAGCTTAACCAATTAATTCAATTAGAGTTCTGTTTTAATAACTCATTGTCAAACTTCCAACATATTAAATATTAGGCTTACTGTACCAGTCATTTATAGTAAAGAAATTTAGCCTCTTCATCAGTGAATAAGAAGCAACTGTTGCTTTTTATCCACTGATGAAGAGGCAGCAGCCTCGAAACGTATGGAGGTTTACGTACTTTTCGTGCATTAATGAATATTTACAAAATATCTTTATATAACAAACTTTGCGCAACGCAGTTTTCTTCTTGTTTAGTCAGTTATAGTTATTACTAGTTACGAGCAGTTAATCAAAGCATGAAAGCAATGATAAATTGTACCATACCAATTTGTCTCGTAATTCGACCAGTTTCTCGACTCTTCTTCTGCGCTCCAATCCTATCAACTCGTCGACATTAGTTTGTTTTTTCCTGGAGAATTGATACCACAAATAGAGCGCACCAGACGCAGCCACGATACCGTACAGCATTGGCCTGCCATAGCGACTCAAAAAGCTTGACATGATGATGTGCGAATAGTTAAGAATGAGCAACACTTATGTTATTACAATATTAGAGAGTCAACACTCCACATTCATCGCAGGAAAACCAAAGACAATCACAACTTTACGACAAGTTTCGCTCTGAACAAACTGTAAAACATTTCGGGAATCATGGGAAGGCGCCAGTCCTGACCTGGTGGGGTGGGGTGGGGTGGGGTGAGGCGGTTCTCTGGGGAAACCGTTTTCGTCATTAACTTTAAGATCTTGGACCGGATTTATGAAGTTCCCCTAAATTAAGATACATTCTAGGCAACAGATTACATAGAGCTAACCTAGCAGGGCTTAGAGGACTGGCTGAGATTAGCCATGCAGCCACCTGCAGTGTCGGTTCAGTTATGCCAGCAGATCTTGTGAATCAAAGGCATCTGCGGTCAAGCATCGATCGATACCCTTGATCAACCCATGATCAACACTCGATCGACATGTCAATCGTCATCCTGATTGATACTCAGTTGACAATCAATCAACATCTCAATAACTCGACACTCCATCGCTGGTTTGACAGTTGGTCAATTGTCGGATGAGTGTCGAAAAATCACAAGTCAAAAATTAGTTGACTCCCGACCAAATGTTGACTGAGATGTTGATCAAATATGTCAACCGAGGTGTTGATGGAGTGTCGATCAAGATGTCAACTGAGGGTATTGATCAAGGGTATTGATCAACACTCTACCGCAGATGCCTTCAGTACACATTATCTGTACCAAATAGGCAGCCAACAGTATGGATAGTGAAAAACACATTTTGAGACCAAGACCCAGAAACCATTAAAAAATATCTTCAGAAATGTTTGGAACATCCAAAGAGAAGGTGTGGTTTGGTCTCCTAGAAAGTTCCAGCACTCTCAGCATGCCTGCAACTCAGAAAAAGTGGACAGGTATACAAACTGTTGCTGCAGTTGTGGACAAGGGGAACATAACAGCTAATAATAAATTGACAGTGATGAAAGTAAAATAACTGCTGTTACAGTAGTGAATATGGGTCTGACTGATGTCTCGAGTACTAGCAAATTCATCTAACACTCTTATTGTCAGCTTTCCAAATTCACTATCGCGGGCTTTCAACTTTAGGTTGATTAGTACATGTAGCCAAAATTTACCACACATTCTGTCAAAGGATACCTTTCCCTCAGTAAGAATTACAATCACACATTATTATGTTTTACTCCTGTTCTTGTTTTATTTATAAAATATATTTTGTGGCACTAACAATTCAATTGTAAGCTGATGCTAAGCACTAGAAATATAAGATAATTAGGACTTACATCGACAAACATAAACCTGACAAGACACCAGGAGAACTTCAGCGATGTGTTCAAGTACAGGGCTATTGCGATACAAAATTTATCATTAAAAAGCGATCCACAAGTATTATTGAACCCCAAGTTATTTGCTGTCCTTGAAAAGGCCGGTCAATAAATTCTCGTGAGTCACTTGAGCCATTTCGTTCCATTTGATTGATTCCCGTGCCAGACATTCCAAAGGCAATATAGTGCCATAAATGGCAAAATTCGTTAATCTTACCACACTAAAACTAAAATTTATCTCCTAAAAAGCATTTTGGTAAAAAGTAGACCGTTAAAAAATTCCCTCAACAAAAACAGGCTTTACTGAAACGATTCTTGCAGCGTTAATCGTTGTCGTCCTTTTTGCCGTGTTTTAAGATGTGAGTAAACTTCGTGAAATCCAGATAACCATCTTTGTCGATCGGGGCGTCACGAAGCACGTCATCTACTTGGTCTTCAGTGAATCTGTCTCCCATAGTAGTTAGGGCCTCTTTAAGTAATTCTTCATGTACTTTGCCGTTGCCATCTTCGTCAAAACAGGCAAAAGCGTTATTTATCACGTCTTCAGGGTCTGTCCCGTTCAGTTTCTCGCCAAACAATGTTAAAAACATTGTAAAGTTGATAGGACCCGGTGACATTTTCACCATCTCTTCCAAGTACTCGTCGGTAGGATCTTTACCCAGTGAAGCCAGCATATCGTGCAAATCCTCTTTATCAACAAAACCATCGCTGTTTTGATCTATCATGTTGAAGGCCTCTTTGAATTCTTGAATTTGGTTCTGATCGAACATGGCAAATACATTCGAAGTGGCTCGATGGGCCCGCTTTTTTGTGGTCTTTTTCGTCTTTCTTGACGCCATGCTGCTCTCTGGGTTGTACAACAGACGAAATCGGAACAACGACGACACACAGACGCTATCTCACAAACAGTTTTCGCGTAAAAATTTTACACAGCACCTCCCAAATTATACAAATGAAACACGAACCCTGAAGCTTTCACTTTCCCGGATATTGGAGCCCAGGCCAATACAAGTGACGAAACCATGAAGTAATTTCCGGTTTCCCACACCGGAAGTTTGAGAATACCATACAAGGTTTCAGGGAGTCCGAAAAGGAATAATGGTCAATAATCTTTCCACATGATTATGAAGAAGATGCATATCTGGGTCTGGTATTCGAAAGCTGATCAGTCCCAAACTTCTCTTCTGAATTTTACATTTTACTGTTGGCTCAAGTCTGTTATTTTATTTATTTTATGTGTCCCCCATTAGTAGAGGGTTTTTTATCCTCGGCTAGAATGTATTTGATACATTAATAAAGTTATTGTTGTTGTTGTTGATGATGATGTGTGAATCTTTAGAAAATTATTTTCCACTGATAACTTCTAAATCTAAGATCTAACCCAGAGTTATTTGTTGTCTGTTTGACCTTCCATATTTTCAGTTCTCTCAAGCCTATTGAGGGTGCAAGCAAATATTGAAAAACACAGAGTTGAACAAGTTCAAATGCAAGAAAACAGCTGTGGACAGACCATGATATTTCCTCTAGGGTCCTCAAGATGGCCCTTATTCCAAGGGCTACTTATGTTTTGATGGGATGTTATTTTATATATATATATATATCTGTTTTTCATAAGAGTATTGTAATTGACAGCAGTAATGTATGTAATTAGCCGTAAGTAATATAGTGTATTGTAAGTAATATGTTGTATTGTACAGTTGAGTACAGTAAAATTTATTACTAAAATAATAATAATAATAAAAAAAGTGAAATAAATACTTTGTGAGAGAGAGAGGAAAAAAATCCTATTTATTTATGAAGAGTGTTAGTGAAACTCGGTGTGCGGTCTTAGTGTTTTATTTTTCACAACAAAAACTTTAGTGGTAGGCAAAATAAAAATACAAAGGAATGTCAGTCTTCTTCTTTCCTTTACTATCTTATCTTCCTGTTTGTACTGTGCTAATAAAATAGAATTATTTATTTTCATCACTTGAAGAGATTTTCAGGCTTATGGCTGACGTAAAATCAAAGTCTGTAGCTCACTTGGTACCAGGGAATGAACTAAATCAAGTCATATATAACGTTTACATTTTTATCCTACTGGTACGTGTGGTACAAATCTATGCTAAACAAAAGAAGCCTCTCTGCCTCAAGTCTAGCCGCTCCATTAATGAACAATGATTATGAGCTCAAGATTTCAATTGTGTGATAAATGATAAGGCTGCAGCCCAAGTCAACTATCATGCATAGAAATCGAGAGCAAATAATGTAATTGTTATAGTGTAAATCTACTAGTTGTTCAGGTTCCTGAACAGGCCCTTTAAACAAATGATTGTCAATTATAAATTATTTGTCAGTACTAAAATTAGCCTAACTGACCTTGTTTTGAGTTGATAATTTGAAAGAATTTTTACTCTCAAATTAGTTCAGTGAGGGTAATTTACATGCACAAGAATTTTAAATTGGCAGCATCTATGAAAAGGGTCTAAAGATGACTTCACAATAGTATACCAGTATATATTAAGCCAATGAATGTAAATTAACGACATGAACAATATTCAAGTGTGTAGTTAAATTTATTGCCCAAGAGACTGTTTTCTAAGTGAAAAAAGTAAACACAGCAATAGATTGATAAATGATTGAACACAAACTCAAATTACAATTATTATGTCCATGTTTAGATAGTGATGCAAAAAATTGTAAGAACACAAAATGACATGTGTTTTCTCAATCACGCTCATGCATGTTTTCATATTCACTGTTATTTTGATTCCCTTAACTAAACATTTATTCTTAGTTCTCACAAATTCACTGATTGTTTTAAATTAAATCTCAGAAGCACACACACTTACATTTGATGCCTTTCGTCAGTCTTTACTCCCATTAAAAGCAGTACGATATCAGATACATCATGACACTGTCACAGGCATACCTATAAGCTTTGCAGCAAATATAATGTACATCTCAGTCATAGGTGAGGTGTATTCAAACAATTGGCAGGGGGAGGACGAGTGGAAAGTTTTTGAAGTGATTGTCCCAGTGAGGGTAGTTCGTTCTGAAAGAAACTATACAGTTGGTAATTGGTTTTGTTCTACAAAAGGGCCAACTACAATAGTGCCAGAACTTGGGATCAGATATCATTTGCACCTCCCTGTCAACATATCCCACAGTAGTGAGTACCCCCCTGCAATTGAATATTCATCTGCACCTTTGCATACTAGCAGCTCAATACAGGAATTGCACTGTGCTAAAATGCACTTCGGCTTTTCTACACTTACCACTTTGATTATCCTATACAACACTCTGGTCTGCCTTAACACACTTTGGTTAGCCTAAACAGCACTCTAGTTAGCCTGAATGGTGCTCTGGTTAAGTTAAGGACCTTAGTTAAGTTAGCACTGACTTGGGAATATTAAGCTCCTTTATTATAAGATACATTCCCTGTATTAAGCTGCATGTCTTTGCACTGGCTGATCAAAGGAAAAGAAACATCTGAATAGCATATAGGAGGCTTGTTTACAGATAAGCCATCCACTTTGAACTTTAAACTTGTTGAAATATCTGCCTGCAGGAACAAGAATGACTGACAATACGGAATTACCCTAAACTTCAATCACATCCACCTAACTGGTGCTATAAGAAACGTATGGAGACCAGTCAAGGGAAATATTTCACTGGCAACGGGGCCAAAAATTCCAGCATCACTATTTAGAATTACTATACTTACTGTACAAACTTTGAATCTCAATTTTCTTTTGTTACTCCCAATCAACAGCTGTCTAACAAAACAATTGCTTGTTTTCAGAGCCAATAAAATCTTTTCGTGGCCCCTGAATGTAAGCTTAAATAATCAATGTCCTGAAGTCATGCATAAATAAGATTTCACTAAAATGAATGATATTTGTTAATCCCACACAAAATTAGTACAACTAACCCAAAGAACATTACCGAATTATCAAGTTACTCTAGACGAAAAACGTGTATTGAATCGGTTCTTAGGGTTGTCAATCATCGTCTTCCTTTTTGCCGTGTTTTAAGATGTGAGTAAACTTTGTGAAATCCAGGTAACCATCTTTGTCGATCGGGGCGTCATGAAGCACGTCATCTACTTGGTCGTCAGTGAATCTGTCTCCCATAGTAGTTAGGGCCTCTTTAAGTACTTCTTCGTGCACTTTACCGTTGCCATCTTCGTCAAAACAGGCAAAAGCGTTTCTAATCACATCTTCAGGGTCTGTCCCGTTCAGTTTTTCACCAAACAATGTTAGAAACATTGTAAAGTTGATAGGACCCGGTGACATCTTCATCATCTCTTCCAAGTATGCATCGGTGGGATCCTTTCCCAGTGAAGCCAGCATATCGTGCAAATCTTCTTTATCAACGAAGCCGTCATGGTTTTGATCTATCATGTTGAAGGCCTCTTTGAATTCCTGAATTTGGTTCTGGTCGAACATTGCAAACACGTTCGAGGTGGCTCGATGGGCCCGCTTCTTTGTGGTCTTTTTCGTCTTTGCTCTGAGAGCCATCTTACTCTCTGGTTTTAACTAGCACAGGCTAACCAAAAGAAACGCTGAGATACAACGAAAGAAAACGTTTCCGTTCAAGATGCTATACAACCCTAACGACTGCACCTTCGCTTTCTTGTGCAGATTTTTACCGGCGGTTGACTTTCCCGGATATTAGAACCCAGGTCAATGACGTGCGCGATCAACCATAGCTAGCCGGGGGTGGAGCAGGGGTGGGGGCGGTGGTACTCGGGAAAGCCCATAATAAAAGGTGCTATCAAAAAGTCCAACAAACCAGAGCGTAACCCAGAAAGAGCCTTTTTCTCTGCCTAAAAACAATGAAAGACCAAAACATGAAGAGAGTTCCAGGGAATTTTTGAATCCACCTTGCTTTACTCATTGTGCAATCTCGCCAATGGCACATGATACAGGCACTAAAAGTTCCCACTTTGTAACCTTTTGAGACTTAACACCCTAAGAGGTACCAAATCTACTTTTATAACTCCTAAAAGGTGTGACGAGCACCCCATCCTTTTTGTTATGGGCTGGAAGTACCCCTCCCCATTGGGGCAATCTGTTACAAACTTGAGGCAGACTGCACCAGTCTTTGAAAGTGTGGACCAGTAAATGTTTGCAGAAACAAAAAACCGAATCCTTCATTGCTTACATCTTCCATTCAAAGATGTTCACATCTCCCATGTCACTATTCACAACAGAGCACAACCTCACCCTCCCCCCCCCCCCACCCCCACCAAGGTCAACAACTCAACTTTTGACACAGGACGCTGATAGCGTTTATTTTATTGTTTAGTCTTTCCAGATAGTCCTCTATTTCTAATCCACTGTAAAAGTATGGGATGACTGTAAAACATTCCTCTGCTAAGGTGGTTCTAAACCTCATTTAACAAGCTAAAGAAACTATTGTGTCTGTTGTCAGTTCAAGACCTGCACACAAGGTGGGAGGCCAAATTAAAAGAGCCTTAAAGACAGGGATTCAGAATGTAAGCTGGCAAAATTTTCCAAAACATTTTTCATCAAAACATTGGGGCTAGCAGCCAGCGCTCTCTTCCTTCACACTTGGACTTCAGTATATGTAGACTTGATTTCTGCCACTCACTCGAGCCTGGTCTATGTTGTATGCCCCTTTCTCGAACAATAGCTGGTAATGGAGTCTACAGTATATGTACTGGAACATTCCAACATATTGGTATCCATAGTTATCTTTTTATAACTGTATATTTTATGTACAGAAATGAATCTAATCTTAGGACATGCTAAATGAACAACAGTGTCTTTCATTTCGGCTGCCTCTTCTGGTCATTGTTGGGAACCTTAAGGACAGTGGCAAGATGAATGAGAAAACTTTATTTACAACTGAAACTTACTGAGCAGAACAACAGATAATTTTGTACATGCAATATTTGCTCTAGTATGCTTCTTAGCTGTTCTTTGAAAACATTAAAGTCAGGCTAGATTTTGGGACTTACAGCTTAATTCTACATTATGTACTGTAGGACAACCTGACACCTACGAGTTTTAAACGAAAATATGATTTACTTTCCAGAGTTGTCCTTGAAATAACTGCTTAATTAGCAGCCAGGAGAGTTGAGTGAAATTCATCTTAAGAGAACAGGGGTAGTCTTTTGTGGCTTTTAACAGGAAAAATATTTTCTAGCTCCAATGAAGACATAGCTTTCATCACTAACATTGAAGGTGAATATTTTCTGAGAAAAACAACCTAGCAACTTCAAAATTAGGGGGAAACGCAGATACAACAAGGTCTTTCAAACTCATTTGATCTCTGTTTTAGATGACCCAATATGAGACAATGTCTCCCTGTCCTAAAGTAAGATGACTGTATTCTTTTCAATAAATTCTATCCTTTTTCTGGTTTGTTAAGTGACAGTTCCTTTAAACATTTCTTTGTTATCAGGGTGGATTGGCCCACAAATATTAACTACCCAAAACAAGTGGCCACCCATAAATAAATCTAAACATCACAAGGGTCAAAACTGTTCCACCTTTACAGTAGTTGAACCATAAGTGACCTGGCAACAAGCTCATCACAAGAAATGGCAGTTCCATCCTTGGAAGTGGTAATGAAATAAAGAAGATATTAAGGGCATTACAACTTTTTTTTGAAATATAGAAATTCTCACACAGTCCTTTTCTTCTAAGCTGAAGAATTCTTCTGTACAAGGCTGCTGTCAAGTATATCAGAGTTAGCAGGGGCATTAGTAAATATAGTTCCAACAAAAGCAAAGGATCCCCACACATGATGTGAGATCACTTTGCAACAGCCAAGATCCATTATATTGAAGCCCAGATGGTTGTATCGTTCATCTGTCTCAAATAAAGTGCTGTTTGTGTGAGGTCCAAAGAACTGGAGATAAACATATAACACAAAAAATAAGTAAATGAAGGAAGATCTAGTGGCTAAGGAAATATAGCTGGTTAGGGGGGAGTGGGAGCAGTATGTTTGGGGAGTGGGAGCAGTATGTTTAGGGAGTGGATGCAGCTCTGGAACTGAAAGGCAGCTAATGAGGTATGCTGAGTCAGTAGGCGGTTGAGTAAACTGTTTTTTCCAATTCTGGGTTAACTATTACAGCAAAGTAGAAATATACATTTATTACACGACTAAGTTAGTTAATAGGGCCAATAGCTAAAATCAGCCAATCAGATTAGCATTGTCGCCATTGTCAGTCCAATATTCTCTCAGTATTGGACCAGGAAATGTCCCAAATGATCCCTCACAATCGCTCTCGAAGATGTTTTGTTGTTTTATGGCTTACATTAAGTTTAAACATAAAAAGGTTTGTTTCTTTTTCTTTCCACTCTCTTTCCTGTCTGGTTTGTTCAACATCAGACATGAGTATACACATAGTTGGCTCCCAATCAGAATTGCACGCTTTTTTCTAGTCTGTGATCATCGCATTTTTTCTATACATTTTCAGTCATGTAATAAATATCTTATTAACCAAATTTGGTCAGGACCATACTGGGAGAAATGTCAGACCTCAGTCTTTTTTGAACAGTCACCTCACTGTGCTCGATCAAGACCTTGGGCTGATATTCTCCCTGTACAGCCCTTGTGCTTGGTTGATAAGATGTATATTTAACTATTAGATCTACTAAATACTAGTCACTTTGTCCATACAAGATTACAGATAATAGTTATCTTCTAACTCCTAGTTTTAGAAGAACTAAAAGCAAAGATATAAAGGCCTGAAACTTACTGCTGTGCCTGATGATGGATCAATGAAGTCTGCCCAATAACCAGCTGCTAGGAGACTACTGCAGATCTCTTTTGCACTTTCTACAAACTGCAATGTAAAGTAGTGAGTCACATCTCTATTTCATATCATTGTAAACCACTTCTTGTCATCAGTAATGAAGAAAAAATTCTGTCTAGAACAGAGCAAAATATTTGTTAATGTGCAGTTCTAGAAAATACACATCTTATCCCAGGGAGAGTCTCTGAAACATTCCTAACAGTTTAGGCGAGGGGTTTCCAAAGCCAAAGTGTTTTGACAAAACTATAAACTATAAGCTAAACTGGAATTTCCAGGAAAGGGGGTTGAATGAGAAAAACTTTCAAAGTTTACATGTAAACAATTATTGTTTCTATTTATTATGATTATTTCTATTTATTATGATAAATCCATGTAAGTTCAACAGAGTAGTCATTGTCAGTCAAACAGTCCTTCCTGATAACAAAACCATATTAAACTCACTGATGGAATTTGGATGTCACTCTGTTTCAATATACCATCACTGTGAAAATGAAAACTGCAATATTCTAACCACAACTTGACTCAAAACTTGAATATTTATCAGATCACTAATATATTGATAGGGATATAAGAATTAGCTTCACATTTGCATAATTTTGGCTGCAAAAAATAGTGGTTGAATGTCACAAACACACTTTTCTCCTCACCCTTTTTCAAATGCTTGAATGTTGAAATGCAGAAAATCAAATTTCTACAATTTCATTCAGTTCACTTGACTAACTTTAGCATGACCTTCTTAACCTTAAGAAATTTACCTACAGCCAGAAAAAAGAAAAAGACATTGACTAGACTTTTTTCCTTTCTTATTACACTTACACTAGCCATGAGACCTTCTCGTTCTTCCTCCACATAAGGTGACCATGCACTCATGTCATTTTGAGTGTGTTGGCTGATGCTAACCACTGTTAGCTGGCCCATTTGCACTCCAATATCAGGAAAAAGCTCCATGAAGCCTTGGTGAAGGAAAGATGGGCACTGTTGAACACTGCACTCTACTGTTCCAACAGCTGTAGTGCTCTTCTAAAAATTACAGAAAAGTTTTTTGATGAATAACTGAACAGACAAGAGTACATCAGATGAAAAGGCAGCTTCAATCCATTATATAAAAAGCCTTGTCACTTCTAATTAAAGAAAGGGAATAAAATTATTGTCAGGGGAGAGCTTACTCAGGTATGTTGTCCAGGATGAGTGAAGAACTTTTTTCAAGGTTTGAGGACTTATGAAGAGTAGAAATTTTATTGAAGCTTAGGACTTAATTGGTGGCTTCACAAAAGCACAACAAAGGTATAGGTTGTACAAAAAGGACAGTGAAAAGTTCACCAGACTGATTTGCAAAAAGTATAAATTTTGAAGCAAATGGTGCACATTGGTTTCCACATTGGGGAATTTATTACAATAATGACAAGCAAAAAAATTACTATTGTTGTGCTTAACAACTTGCTTCCTCAACTGCACAACCTTTAGACCAAAAGGTTAACCTTTAACCATCTTTCCAGTTTGTGGACCAAGGGAGAATGGGCATGAAGGATCATATAGATTGCAGCCAGATAGTGGAGAGCTAAAAGAGCCAGTTATGAATTGAATAGTAAAATATGTGTCCTTCAAGTATTCATTATGCGACCAAGAATTAACTACCTCTGTCTCAACAGCTTCCTCATAATTTTCTGCAACATCCTTCACGTACGTATCTATGGCCACTGCTCTTCTGATGTCATCTGATTCCAACTCTAACAGTGCTTCTGCCATAGTTCGTCTGTGAGGGAGTTCAATACCAACATTTCCAGGAAGAGGAAAGTGAGGGTCTTTTGGAGCAAATGGACCAAGTCTAGCATCTGGCCAGTTACCTTGATGAGCTGTAAGATGGTTCGAGTTAGTTTTTCAACCCAAAGCAAACACTGTATAATCAGTGAAGTGTGGTCCCAGAAAGAGGGTCCTGAAAGGATGGGGGGTACCATTCTCATTTCCCAGCCCATATTTTTTTCCAAATCCCACTTCACAGTGCTCAAATCCCATTCTCACATGCAGAATTCAGAAATAATCCAAGTGTTATTGGATAGTTTAAGCAAGACGTTTACGGCAGATGGCAAACGGCAAAGATTACCTCTGATTTTTTTGTTCTTTTCTTGTAATCCTTAAATAAATCACACAAAAATAGAAAAATGTCTTCTCCTATTCACCGCAAGCACAAATATTTTCACTCTGCTATACAGACAGCTGAAGACAGACAGCTGAAGACAGACAGCAAAAGTTTCATTTTTGCCATTTGCAGTTTCACATTCCAGATATTCCTGCCTGCAGGAAATCTGTCATCTGACCGGTAAATGTTCTTATTCTACCAAGCCTGGTCAGACAGATCATGCTAAGTGTTGTTACAAGAATGCTGTCTACCTCTTTTTCAGAGTCACTGTCGCTCACACTAAAGCTGTCTACCTGTTCATTAGGAGACTCTAGTGGTAAGCTAACCTGTGTCACAGTCGCCTCTCTCTGATTTTTTCCGGGGAGAGGGGGCTGTGACACAGGCTAGTGGTAAGTCAGCATCCTCATTCGAATTAGCAACCTTGTTGTTGAATTAGTTGGCTCATTAACTTTCGCTTAGAACTCTCTACGCCTTACAGTTAATTCAAATTGACTGGTTTTAAGACCGTTTCAGTTTTACATAAGTTCAGAGGCAAAGTGCCTGCCCTGTCCATTGTCTGATGGATTCACCATGCATTTTAGCCTATTATCCTCATTTCAGCTTGCTTCTTTCTCATTATCTCCTTTGTAACCAAGAAATAGTGGCAAATCCTGTACTTGCTGGATCTGGATTAACATGCTCAAAATTGACAAGAACAAGGTGCTTGAAACACTTTCTGACATTTCTCAACCCTAGGAATAAGTGATGTCTCAACTGATCTGGATTACAACATATTTATCCCCTTCCCATTTTTGACAGTTTTTCCCAGTGACCAAAATCCCAGTCCCAGTGACCTAAATCCCATTTTCCCATTAGCCAATCCCAGTTCCCATTTTACCCCTTCAGAACCCTCCAGAAAATATCTATACCAAGGATTGTTATTGGAAATTATTCCAAGGGGGAAAGGATTCTCAAAAACCAAAATGTTTAAAGGACAATATGAAGTAAAATTGGAATTTCCAGAGGGATGGGGGTTCAAACCCCCCTCCATGGGAGAGATATCAATGATAATTTTCTGGAACAACACAAGCAGGGACAGGCATTTAAAAGAATGAAGCACAGCATACCTGATCCATCTCCAGATAATGCAGTGTCTGTACTTGACGTACTTAGCACTGCTCTCTGCTGCATATTCCTCACCATTTGATTGACAACTGCTCTTATACTAGGAAAGTACCTGACTGCACGACTCGTCTTTCTAAGAGCCTAATGGTAGGTGAACACATCACAATGTGTCAGTACAGCATGACTATATGTTCCCTAGCAACCTTGTTCTCTTGGCTCAAAATAGAAGTTACAAGTTGGATCACTCAAGTCTCTTTTTCCTCTCTTTTTTTCTCTAAGAGTGCTAGAGCCTGACAGCAGAAAGCACAGCACAAGAAGGAGAAAAGAGACTGACACTATTTCATAATACAACAATTTCATTCTGCTTAATAATAGTGGACCTAAACTTCAGCAGGCACGATCCCCCATAGTACTACTCGTGAGCACTTACACTGATAATTTTACAGTTAATAAGCCTAGGATAGATTCATATTAGACACTCTAATTGCTCCAAAGAAAAATGTAACCAAAGGTAGCATAAGCAGGTTGTATTAACATGAGAATAGATTAACTAATAAA